TCCACGGTGAGTAAAAATGTGAGAGGAACAGAAAAACGTCCAGGAACGGCTGGAGGTTCAGAGGTTTTTATTTGAAAAGATTCTTTTTGGGCAACTTTTGTGCTATTGTTTCATAGTGGAAGTGGAAAGAGAAGAAAACAGAGGACCAGATGCAGCAAATGGTGCCCTGCCCAAAATTACATCAAGAACTTTTTTGTTTTCAAGGGATTCACACCTATGTGGTAAAAACGCCAAACACTCAGATCTAATTTAAGTATATGTACAACAATAGAGACAAGAAATGTGTGGGAGGCATACTGTAGCCCTTTCAACTTGCGCACTTGTCAGGGAGCTGTGCTTCTTTGTAATGTTTGTTCATGCACAGAAGAGCTCCCAGATGGCTCTATATGAAGAAGCAAATGTGTTTTTACACCGATGGCTGTGATGCCGCTGCTGGTGTTTTCACCTTTGATCTTGCGTCTTTTGCAGCTCTTTGGTGATATCATCGATCTTCGCCTGCAGCCTCTTCTTCCTCTGCTCCGGAGGAAGGTGAGAGAAATCTTCTGCAGCAGGCGGCTACACAAACACAATACATGAAATGCACACGCACACAATAAGCCTCCCGACAATCATATGAAGGCTCACCACCAGATGTCACTCCTCCCTGTCTCTACAGATCTGTCACTGATGATGAGACATTTACACACTGGCTATCTAACCCTGGGTTGTTAGTCAAACAAACACAGAGAGACACATAGTTGTGATGTGTCAATGAAACAAATCCTGTTGAAGGTGTGAAAGTAGAGATGATGGTTACAGACAGAGTGACTGTTCAGACATCTGAAACATCCCATGATACTCATTGATTACCCAAAGAACAGTGGTTTGGATCGGTGCAAAACCTAAAAGGAAGATTCTTCTGTGATGCCATACGGACATACATTAAAGTAAGTCTCAGTAAAATCGATTCAGGAGGTACTTTTTATAACAATATGATGAACTGCTTTTCAAAGCGTGACAACAAAAAAAGAGTAAAAAGAGACAGAGGGGGTATCTGCATTAGAAGTACAAAATATTAATGCCATATGTATAATATATAGGACCTGAAGAGGTTCACCGTGTTCAACGAACAGCGGCGCACGTGAAGGCAGCGACGCCTTCAGGAGGCAGCAAGAGTGAACGTTCAGGGTCTTATTGTAGACATGATCCTGAAGAAACGCGCTTTCATCTTCCCTGTACTTCTGTGTATGTACAGCAAAATGACAATAAACCTGATTTGATTTGATTTATATATATTCTTTTTTTTTTTTTTTAAATACCACTGAAAACAAGCTGATTTAAACAAAAAAAAAATCTACAGATGTATTTTCAAACATAACAATATGTTCAAAGTTTCTTAGAAGTTTTACATAAAGAGGATTATCGTCTCCCTGGATTATAAAATAACTGTTTTTATCTTGCAGGATATTTTCTTTTTTAAAGGTACATTTCTAAATCAATTTTAAAGACGAGTAAGGCAAACTTTTAGGTCACTTTTTATTAAAATCTTTGCAGCAGTTCTGGGGCAGACTGTCTAAAAATATGGTTGACTTTCTAAAACTGAACACGATGGAATAGAGGCCAGTGTTTGTGTATACCTAAACAAATCTAACGTTAAAAGACTGTAGCACCAGAATATCAGCACTTTAAAGAGAGTCTGTTTCTTGGGTAGAAAGTATTTCCAGGAGAACAGCTCACACTGCATGTTCTGTGGATTATTCAGACAAGAGGGGACAGCTGCTTTCAAGGTTACACTTAAATTGTATTTATATGGCGCCAGTTCGCATAAGTCATGTCAGGACACTCACACAGTAAGGTCAAGACTGTACGATATTATAATAAAAGACCCAAATGCGACGGTTCTCTTTGAGCAAGCACAGCAGTTCGCTGCTGAATTTTTAAAATGTCATTTGAGCTGTCGGCACTACGATCAATTTACTTTCTTCCATTTAAGTGGGTCGACATGAGTGAATAGTGTAGACCAAACCTGAAGGCCTCTAAATGATTTAAATAACACATCTAACCTAAAAAACAAAAAATGCAAACAAAGCAAAATGTAATTCATATTTTAGACTCCTTAAAGCAGCCACAGCTTGCCTCGATGACAGCTTTACACACTCCCGACATCGTTACCAGCTTCAGTCAAATGGCCAATAGGCCAAGTGAGACCAATAACAGAGAGGAGGACAGTTTGGGCCAAACACAAAAGGAAGGAACAACAGACAGGCGGAAATCAGGATTTTAGTCTGATAAATCCAGATCTGACGTATTTTGTTCTAATTGCCAGATGCTTTCACAATCAAACGACCTGAACCCGGTCGGGAAGTTCTGGGACTGTTGCCGCAGAGTGAAATAAAGCAGTCAGCAGGTGCTCAGCATATGTGGGAACTCCTTCAAGACTGCTGGAAAAACTCCAGGTGACAAAAGGCGTCAATGTTGAAGAATTTAAAACCAAGAACATCTTTTGCTTTGTGTGCACTTGTTTGACTTGCTACATAAATCCCATGATGTTAAATAATAGTGTTGATGCCTTTAGTGTTGTTGTACATTGTAGAGAAAAGTAAAAATAGAAAAAAAAACCTTCAAACAGATGGATGTGTCCAAAGGTTTGGCTGGTATTGAGCATATTTTTGTACCTTGAATGAAGTGACCCTGGAGGTTTATGTCAAAAAGGTCGTCTTAAATGTTTTCTATCCGTATGGCATCACAGAAGAAGGTTTATTTGCAATTTGAAAAGTAAATGTGGCATCCTGTGCCGTGAGAAAACTGAATTTGATTACTTAAGGAAAGAGTAACTGCACCTGGATAACTCTGGTTGCACTGCCAACCAGTGGCGACTGCAGACCACAGCCAGCTGTGACTACAGATGTGGTCAGCAGGTCGACGTACTTAAACCCAACAACAACTCATTTTCTAATAGAGAAATGCTGCAGCAAAATCATCTCATCGTAGTGGCATGTGTTCAATCAGTGGAAATATGTAATATCTGGTGACTTGGATTAGAAAATACGTTCAAAACTTGGGAAACAGGCTAAAATTTGTATTTTTATTCTGTGGATTTTATTTTTTTTACATCCAGATGATAAATCCTTTCAACCCTAAAACTCACCTGCGGGTCTAAAAGGCATGTTGTCTTTAAAGAAAAAAAAGAAAGAAATAAAATCACCGAAATTACGCTATGACTTACATTTAACCTCTTAAGACCTGACGTCCACATGCGTGGCATCACATTTTGGGTCTTATTACCACAGTAGCTCATTTTTAAATTTTTTTTTTAAATTAGAATTTTATTATTGTTATTTATTAATTGTAATTATTTATGTATTTATTATATATTTTAAAATATTTTTTAGTATATATTTTTATTTTCTTTATATATTTTTAAAATCTTTTATTCTCTTTACTATTTGATCAGATCAAATAGCAAAGAGAAATAAAAAATGCTTTTCAAACAAGAGTTCAGATCTTAAGAGGTTAAATACTGTAAAAATATAAAGAACTGTCAGACTGTCCCCCTTTAGATGGTCTTTGAAGTAATGTGCTGTTCCATCAGACAACTGAAGCAAATTTAAACCTAAAATGTCTCATTGGGGGGAAAAAAAAACACAGACAAAAATAAATCCTTTACAATCACCAGATTCTGTAAAAAACAATAAAAACTCTTTGGTCCTCTGTGGAACTGTGAAGCTATCAGTGACTCATCTGTGACCAGCGGTCATGTGACAAAAACTCAGGCTGTGTTTACACAGAGCAGACATTTAGAGCCACTGATATTTCCATAATTTGAAACATTGCTGGTGTTTCGGTAACTTGTACGTTCTCTCTACTTCTAGCCATGGTTGTGCGTCTTCAAAGAGAGATGCAGGACTTTTATTGTAATGAAAACGTTAGTAAAAATGCAACAGGAGCAGAAAAAAGAAACTGGTTGGGATACAAGGGGTTAGAGGGGTCTTTGGGGATCCTGCACACCTTTAATCAGTTTTGTTAAACAGTCTTCTGGGTTTTCAAAGATCCCTGGGTTGTTAACTTACTGTTCAGGCTGCACTTGGGGAGAAACCCGGCTCTACTTGAATGAAGTGAAAAACATCAGGGGGGAGTGGAGAGAAAATGGAAAGAAAACCAGAGAGAGCCACTGTGACAGCACCTCCCTGATTTGCTAACTGTGTTAGCTGATGTGAGGATGAATTTTGCAGCGCCATCCCTTAATACCGTGGATGTTATAAGCAGAACTGAATACTACAATCAAAGATGGTGCCTGCTCACGTAAATGAAAACTGCAACTAAAAACATCCAGAACAGAAAGAGTAAGGAGCCAATCTTGTTTGCAGGTGAAGGCGTCTGTCAACAGCTTTATAAACGTCACCTTCATAATGGTGGGAGAAATGGTTTTCGGATCACAGGATTTTTAAATTTATTTTTTTTGTTGCAGTACCACAACTGGCCACTAAGAACACCAGTTGGCTGAGCTGTGGCGCCACATCCAGTTCTCTTATACATCCAGGCTTTTTACCCACAGAGGTCAGTGCAGCATCATCCAGTGTGGAGTTACTCCTTAAACAGTGTTTTCCCCGTGAAAAGAATCCAGCACCACATCCTGTTATCCAACACCCTGTAGGTCGACCCTCTACGTAATGATAATAAGTGTTACCATGTGCTTTTCAGCATGTGTTGTCTAGACAGAGAGAAATGAAGACTCAGTGTGAGACAGGTGTATGGGACACACAACAACAAGCATGTTAAATGTGTTTTTGCTTCACACAAAAGAACAGGTAGTACGGTTTATGCACATGAAGAGCATTAACGAGACGAGGGGACGGAGCTCAGACGTGAACCGAAGTTGGCCAAGACGGGAGTGTCACTCACCGAGCAAGGTTTGTGTAACATCTTTAGGGTGGAAATCCTGGGTTTGACAGATTGATTAAACTCCCTCAGACAAAGAGAGAGAGGGGAGCGCTGCAGCTTGGAAAGGGGGAGAGAAAGGGGGAGGCTGCCAAGCGGGAAAGGGGACGGGGGAGAGAAAGATGGAGGGACGAACTGAAGAGGGGAGAGAAGAGACAAGGTGGAGGAGCAGGGAGCAGAGGAAGAGAGGAGGCAGAAAATGACACTGGTGAGGGAGGACAAGAGAAGAAGAGAGCCCAAGATACGCGGAGATTTTTGTAATAAGGAAGAAAAAGAGTTAAAGAGAGAGCGAGAGGTGTTTTGGGGCAAGTCTGTGCAGCAGACTGGAATTAGAATTGGCCCCTGAGGGCAACAAGGTGGTGGGGTAAGACACGAGTGGAATGTGTGCTGAGTTTTACGTGAGTGTGTGTTTGTTTTAAGACATTGACGATGCGAGCGTCATTTTGCACTTCCACAAAGGTCAACGAGAGCAGGACAGGGAGCGAGCCGGGCCCTGCTGTTCATATGGATTTAACTACTGATAATTTAACAGAAGACTTTCAGTTAGTTGTCAGGGCAACAGCGCTCTCTAACCAGCAGAAATACAGGTTTCTCCACAGCTAACTGTAAATGACTCAGCCTCTTGGAAGTGTTGGGAGAAAATGTCTGGTGATATTTTTACTGACGTGAACAGAAATCTCGTTAATTTTCATTAAAAGAATGAACTGATCTTGAAAAGTCTGATATGTTTTTATTCTTGTGCTTAAAATGCATGCCAAGTAGTGACTAATAGTTTCTAACAAACACTCTATTTGCTTCTGTTTGAGTAAACTTTGCTAAAAACTACAATTAACGGCTGTTTTAGAAAATAACTGAAGATTTTTCTTTTTAAAATCAAAGCATATCTACGTGTTTTTTATGCCTTATCTTTTCAGGTTGTCTGTTCTGCTCTATATTATTCTATAATTCTGGAGAAATCAGTATATAATTAGCATTAACATAAACAGTTAGTGCTCCATATACAAATTTGGCTTTTGATCTGACTTCTGGCCCAGCTGATCATCTCATTGACTGCCAACATTATTCAGTCAATGATAATGATTCACAGTCGAGGATTTGATGCACCAAAGACACACTCCCTGGTTTTGTTGTCGTGCATGAAACCCCTTGTCCCATTACATCAGGGAGGTTGTCTTTAAACAGGTCAACTTTTTGGAAAATGCCGCAAATTTGTACGTAAGATCTTACATCGTGTGCACTAAATGAGCCGGAACAGGGCGTCAACCTCTCTGGCTGGCGGAGGCACACAACCGTGAGGTGGTAATTCTAGTGAGAGATTAACTCAAGTCGAAAGCTTATCTGAAAGCGTTGAGAGATGGACAAAGACTTCATTGTGCTTTACCTGGACTTTGCTGACAATAAGAAAAATATAAAATAATCTAACCATCTTAGAAAGCATCTTGCTCTACATCAAAATGTACATTTTCTTTTAACCCTGCTCTGTAAGTTTTGTTGGGAAATTACTAGTGGCTGCACATCCCAAACTGAGGAGCTCCTAAGTAATGCAGCTCCAGCTTCATAGGTGATACAGTGCATGTCTTTACACAGAGTGGACATCACCTCATTCAACACAAGTGTGAATTCCGCGTCCAGCTCTAAAACACTAACGTTAAAACACAAAAATGTAATCCCTGGTTGTAGGATACATTTAATTTGCCTCAAGAGGGGATTTTGCACTCTGCAGCACTTTGATCACCACTCAGCCATTACATGAGAGCTGGTTATTGTTTTAATTCTCTGTATTTCAGAGCATGCAGTGTTTCAGGAGAGACTAAAAAAAAAAAACAACAACCGTGTGAGCTGCATTTAAAGAATCAAGTTGTATGAAACAGAAAAAAAGAGGATCCTGATGACAACAAGCCGGGTTTTAAGAACAGGACAGAGAGGATTTTCCGGTTGTCACGTACAGAAGCAAGAGAAGCAGAGCAGGGAGAGGCGGTGAATATCTGCGCCGCACGTTTTTATGCAAACTCAAAGAGAGGCAAACCGAGGGCTACGTTCACCTTGTGCTTCTTGCTGAAAGGCCAGAGCTTGGCGCGCACTTTTGGTGGGTGCAGGCTGGACTCTGAGGTTGCTGGTTTGATTCCCTGGGTGTAGTCTTCAAACTCCACATCTCCAGGTCGCTCAAAACCAGACTTGTGCTGCTCTATGAACAGTATCGAGTCCTGCAGAGAGACACGGACAGACTCGTTTACGTCAAAGCAAACACGGTCGGATTTAACAAGGTGTTGGACCTGAGTGTGCAGGTTCAGAGTCACCATGAGAGGCCCCAGGAAATCGTACAGTTAAAAAGCCTCTTTCAAAATCTATTATATCTGCAAAACTGGAGCACAATGCAAAAGTTCTAAATCAAAATAGAGGTGTTCTGGTTTTCCAGAGAATTCTACATTAAATTGTAAAAGGTCAGGTGAGACGGTAAAGACTAGAAACAGAGGTCAGATCTACTGAAAGTAACAATATCATGTTTTTGGACTCTCTGTTCTTTGTTAGTCTCTACACACTCTGACAACACTTGACAAAGTTAGTAACCCAAGTCAAGAAGCAGCCTTACACCTAAACCCCAGTGAAACCACAATGTGTGATGTATTTTAAACCTTAGGTTGTTGAACAAATTAAACAAAT